ACTTGCTGTGACTATTACTTGGTAACATCAATATTAGCATCAGGTTAGGGTTAATAGAATCAGAGCATTGAAGGAATAGAAAAGATGAACTGGAAGCTAACTTTTAGAGATAAAATGATGTCTAGTTCAGGCTTACATAAAGCCTCTGGCGAGGACTCCTAAATCCCTTTGTATTTATTTATTAAAGCCAGAGCTGGGTTTATGCTGAAAGCTCCAGAAACCTAAAGGAAGACACCAGGAGAAGGACCAGTAAAATACTGTTGCCCGGTTGCAGGTAAACCCAGATCAGTTTCTTCACCCAGATCAACCCCTGTGCAAGGGAAGGCTGGCATGGGGTAAGAACAAAAGACCAAGGTAGAGATGATTCTTTCTTTTGGCACCAGTGCACTGTTAACTTCAACTTTATGTGGAACTGTAAAATAGTTGTATTTGGTGTAAAGGAAATTGTACTCTGAGGATTAAGCAGAAGAGAAACCCCACATTTTCCTCTGTTCTACATAAAGTGATCACCAGTAATTCCTCTGGTAGGAAATGTATTGTCCTGAAGTCTGATTTCTGGGTAGAAAGTGTTTTTGAATACTTTGTTTCCATAGAGGTTTTTCCTTTAAGGAGAAAGACGGGGGGCAGAGTATATACACACGTGTGCATACGCATCTGTGTGTGCTACACAACCACTTCTCACCTTGGTAGTCAGCTGGGCTGTTCTGGGGGACAAATGGGGAAGTGCTCTCTTAAAAAAGAAAAATAAAGTGCCCTAAAATGGGTGGTTTCAAATGTTTGTCACTAGCTAAAATAAAACTGCTCAGCGGTGTTTGACTTGATAAGGGTTACATTAGACAACAGTCCTGCCAAAGTTTAAATGGAAGGGTATTGTCTGTCTTGTTGGGTGCTACAGCCATGAGTGCTCTCCTTGTAGAGTGCTGTGCATCAGACAACAGCCCTTTATAGGAAGGTGCCTTAGTTACTAAAACCTTTCAGTGCACATTTCTTATGTTCTTACTGAGCATGCTGGCTGCTTGTTTTCCCATAATAAAACTGAGTGAGAGTATGCCACCACAAGTCATTTCTTGAATTGTTTATTAGATGTCTGGGCTGTGAATGGCTGCTAGAGAAGTAAAAATTGCTGCCTTGTTATGAAGAACACACTTATCAGTCTACCTTTCTTCAACTTCTGAGATTTTCAGCTATTTTTGTGTGTGTTTTTAAGGATTAAAAGTTAACTTTATCCTGCATATTTCTTCCTTTGGTTTTGTTATGTTAAAACCTACGACTACTTTATATCAAAGATTAGAATACTAGAATACTGGATTGGAAGGGACCTTGAGGATCATCCAGTCCAACTCTTCTAGGCAAAGCGTGACCTGCCCAGCCAAATGTTACAAGTGTCCTTATAGTACTTTGAAGGTGTCCTTGTAGTACTTATAAAATTTATTACAGCTAAATGTAATATTTTATTCAGGTATTGCTGTGCGTGGTTTTGGCTAAGCTGCATTTTAATTGAATGTCTCCATTTTTTAAAAGCTTTATTTCAACACATAATGTCCTTGACATATGTAATATCTTATTTTTATGGAGCTATTTAACTTGTAATAGTAATGCATTGATATGATACAAATTAATAGCAGTATTTATAATTTAGACAATCACATTAATATAACTGCACCAAGTTACATTATCTTATTGCAATAATGTTGTAAAATGATACCTCTTATTATCACATTTACTCTGCAGTTTATACTATGTTTGACATTTCACAATGGTCAATGGACATTTGACAATGGTCATACAGATCAGACCGCTGCCCAGTGTTCACCAGATCATGTGTACTTGAAGACAGTGGTGAATGTTGTCAGGGGTGGTCTGGATCTCTTCCAGTTCCCATGGTTTTACCTTCACCTCCCACCCTTATCTTTACTTTTTAATCTTCCCCTCTACTTCTGTTTTCAGTCATTATTTGTTCCTTCCTGTGTTACTTAGGGAGGACACTTCAGCCTTGGGAACAGGCTTCTGTTTGCCCTGAACAAGAGACTCAAAGGAACAGTGGCCAAATAAGAATGTATTTGAAAGATTGAAAAACAGGGTAAGTACATGGGATACTTTCTAGCCTCTATCTACCAAGTAGTTCAGAGACTTCTTGACCTAGATATGGCACCTGAGTATTAAGTAGCGCCCACTGGTTTTATTTTCTATGACATTGTCCAGTCTCCCCTAGTGCTCCTGCAAGCTTCTGGCACTCACCATACATTTTGGCAAGCGGTTCCTTAAATCTAGTCTGTGCTACATGAACAAAACTCTTTCATTTGTTTCCAGCATAGCTCCCAATAGCTTAATTTGATCCCCCATGGTTTTTGTTTTGGAAGAGGCGATAGAATATTTGGTCTCTGTCCAACTTCTCTGTACCACTCATGATTTTGCAGATCTTTGTCATGCCCTTTTTTAGTCATCACTTTTCCAGACTAGAGAACAATATGTATTCAACAAGTTTAAAGATAAAAAAAAAAAAAGCTTATAAAACTGTTTTAAGACTCTCAGAATGCACTACTGCATGTGAAAGTCATTATTCATTCTGTAGAATGATTGGCAGTATTTTGCTTTGCTTTGTGCTTAATAGATGGTTGAGCTATCTGCTTTTATGTTTGGTGTGCCTTTATCATCACTAGCAGGGGACTGTCCCTTTACTTGAATGGTAGTTATCCTTACTATAATGAGGTCTGCCAGGCTGTTCTGCAGGCAAACAGAACCACTCAAATAAAACACAGCACCAATAATAGGTAGAGATTTTCTTCTTCCCTATCTAATATCTTACTGAAACAACTTCAGGAATAAACATTTAATAGAAACAGACTTTTCAATGTATTTAAAAAGGACTGCCAATGGAAGCAATATAATTCTATCTGCTATCTGTAGTTACCATTCAGAAAATGACATGTTCATTGCATCTTCTTGTAGGCACAAAATCAGAGTATTTGCTGACCTTGGAAAGAAGCTACAATCTCAGCACATGACAATAAAGTAGAAATGAGCAAACAGACAACATCAACTTGATATAATAAAAATTGCACTGGCGTTGCACTACTTGCAAAAATCCAGCAGTTAATTTAAATAAGAGATTCTTTTGGGGTACTTTGGTATAGATTAGATTATATTGAGGGGAAAATACTGTCATCATGGCTTTTGTCTTTTCTAATAGAGGCATTTGGCTTTCTTTGCTTGATTTTATCACAGAATAAGAGAACAAATGAAGTTGCATGGCATCTGTGGAAATCACATAGTCCAACACCCCTGCCCAGCCACAATCACCCAGAGCAGGTTGCCAGGACTCTGTCCCATCAGGTTTTGAATATCTCCAGGGAGGGAGCCTCCACAACCTCTCCAGGCAGCCTTTGTCCAAACACCTTCACACAAGTAGAGCATTTTCTTATATTTAGCCAGAGTTTTCTATACTTTAATATGCCTCTTGTCCTGCCTGGATACCAGTGAGAAGAGTGTGGCATTTCTCTTCACTGAAAGTCAGTTGTAACAGGAAAGACTGACAAGAAGGTGGCATTGAGTACTTTGGTCTGTTCTGTGTTATTTGTCAACTGGCCGACATTTTCCCTAGACTTCTTTTGGCTGCTAGTCTACTTGTAGAAGCCCCTTGTTTGCACTTGGCATCCCTCAATAGTTTCAATCCCAGATGGGTGTCAGTTAAATGTAATGGATAATTTTAGGTAGATTTAGCTAATTCCAAAGCCTCTTAGCAAATTAGTCTGGCTCTAGCAGAGGTTTCCAGACAGAGTTTTACACATGCTACTTGTTACTTGAAAAACCAGGAATTTAAGTAAATTGCAATTCCCAAACCAACACAACTGTTGCTTTGGATCTCAGTTCCCTGAAGTGTAGATCTTACTTTCAAATTAATTTTTGCCAGCAAAGCAAATCAAACTCTTCTGGCCCTGGGATAGCTGACAAAGCACTTAGAAACTGAATAACCCCAATGAAAACTGAAGTAATTTCTTACATTGTGCAAACTGCCCTCCTCTGGGTTTTGCTCTTCTCTGTAATTTGTCCTTAAAATCATGCATAATACTTCCTGAGGAGACAAAATGTCATTGTTGCTCAACTTAGCTGGAACTTCTGTTACACAGGTAGCTTATTAGAATTAGCTTGTAGTTAATAGAAACTTTGCTAACTATAAATGTTTAATTGATTTCTGACTGGCAGTAAAAGAAATCAGTGTAGATGGTTCAATGCTCTAAAAGCACTAGGTCAGAAAACTCTTTTGCCTCACAAATCCCTCTGACACATACTACAGCACTGAAAGTTACTGTTGACCACAATATAGATCTGAAGTCTGTGTTTAGAATCATAGAATAGTTAGATTTGCAAAGGACCTTAATATCATCTAGTTCCACTCCCCCTGCTATGGGCAGGGGCACCTAACAATAAACCATGTCACCCAAGACTCTGTCCAACCTGGACTTGAACACTGCCAGGGATGGAGCATTCACAACTTCCCTGGGCAACCCCTTCCAGTGCCTCACCAGCCTCACAGTAAAGAACTTCTTCCTTATATCCAATCTAAACTTCCCCTGTTTAAGTTTTAACCCATTACCCCTTGTCCTATCTCTACAGTCCCTAATGAAGAGTCCCTCCCCAGCATCCCTATAGACTCCCTTCAGATACTGGAAGGCTGCTATGAGGTCTCCACGCAGCTTTCTCTTCTCCAAGCTGAACAGCTCCTACTTCTTCAGTCTGCATACGGGAGGTGCTCCAGTCCCCTGATCATCCTCGTGGCCTCCTCTGGACTTGTTCCAACAGTTCCATGTCCTTTTTATGTTGAGGACACCAGACCTGCACACAATACTCCAGGTGAGGTCTCACGAGAGCAGAGGGGCAGGATTTTACAGTTAAAATGCGCAGAACATCTAAAAGTTTAAGTTCTCTTCATGGTTTTTCCCTAAGGGTAACTCTTTCTTCATTTTGATGTGCTGACTGCATGCTTTCCCCCGCTGAGTCACTTGTATCGTGAAACAACGTATAATCTGTGTTTTACAGAAAGGTGAAAATAAAGAATAACCTACTCCCAAATGCCAAATTAAGTGATGGATTGGGCCCACATTCAATTAAAAGTTTCAATAAATGCTCAAAGATTTTGCCATATGGAAATACCTCAGAGCATGAAATCAAAATTAACCCTGTGTGGGATTAACATGATGCACCGGGAAAGCACGTCACGTTTGGTAGACAAAAATGTGAGTATGCAGAAGGCAAGTGTAACACTTCTGTTTGCTGGCTGATTCACTGTTCTCTTTCATAGCTGTAGTAAGGAAGATGAGACTGGGGAACACAGTTCTGCCTGATCTGCACGCAAAGAGGTATTCCCACTTATACATATGCTTCACTTGCAACTTGTAGCTTTTTGATGCATGCATAAAAAATTTTTGTACCATACATGTGAAGAGAGAGGCAGAAGCGACCTTTTACTATGATTTCCATGGTGACAATCCTCATTAAACTGGTCAGTAATACTGAATTATCTATAGGGGACATCTGGAGTGGACATGATGTAACAAGTAAAAGCAAAAGAAAGTGAAACTCTTGAAGATTGTGCTTTAGATTTTTTAGAGACATCTGTTTTAGAAAAGCTTTGCAATTCCATTGTCTTACATTGTCAGTGTGCTTTGTACAAGGCAAAAAGGGCACGTGGGGAAAACAAGCACTTACAGCCAAGGCTGTTAACTTGCGGAGAGGTTATGTCTTACATTCTTAATCCTTGCATTGCATTCAGTGTGTCCTGGATATGAGAACAAAATAAATTATGCACCATTTCTTTCAAAACCATTTTTATTTTTAAGGTATACATCTATTTAAGTGTATTTCTAGATATCTTGAAGCACTCACATTAGCAATAGCTGAAATAGAATGTCACTCGGTTCTCTACCTTTATTCTTAATATACACGGTATGAATTAAACAGTCCTGTTATGCTGCTGTGTGAGCTACTGAGCTCTATTTGCAACATTTGTTAAGACTGAAATCCCATAAATAAAACATCTAAGAACTCATCTGCTTTTGAGATGGCACAAACACATTCACATATTGTATGAGCTGAAGGAATCTGGGCTTCTTAGATTGAAGAAAAATAGGTTATAATTGGTACCAGCAAATAATGTGATCAGCAAGAAAAATGTGCACTGTATGCATTGACTTTTAATAAACAGGAGTAATGGCCCATTCTCTGTTTAGCAGAAGACACTTCAATAAGACTTTAAAGATTCTGCTTTATTAGCACTAGGAATTTGTTATAACAGGTATGAGGACTCCAGTGTTACATGCAAAATCACATACTTAATGATATTTAATACTTGTTTTAGATTCTGCAGCAAACAAATAGCAAAAGGAACGGTTCTGTAGTAAGCATTTACATCTTCCATTTGTTACTGTTAATAATTTTGCATTTCTGGGTTTTTTTGCCTCTTTTTTTCCCTTGAGTTGCTCTCATTCCAGAAGCCTGCTCTTTTCCAGACTGATGTATTTGCTTACATTTATGCATCACAATTATTTCACCCAAATTAACATGTTTCTTGCATTTGCAAACCTAGAACCAAAGCATGTGTCTTGATAAGTAAATAAATCTGATAGACTCTTTCCAAGTATAACATCTGTCAAATATAATGCAAATACAACTGGGTGTGTGTTTCTCTGAGGAGGTGGACTACTCAGAGTTTACTGCTTAGTGACGTGTTGTGAAATGTTACCATCTCTCCACTTCAGTTCTAAGCCCTGAGGTGAAGCTGTTCCCCTTCCCATGGCCACTGTCGACATCCATAGCCCAGCCCACTGGCAGCAAACCAGGCTTCTAGCCCAGGCAGTTGTGGTTAATGTTTGCAGATCTCGAGGACTTTGCTGTTGACCACTCAGTTAAACATATGATGTGAAACACCCTCACTTCAGAGCAAGAGTTTGTTTTGGAGTAGTGTCCAGCATTTCTTTGGCAATTATTAATATTGCTAAATATGGTATCCAAATATTTAAAAGATCACTTTTGTTAAGAAATATTTTCTTCTTCAAAACACCATGTACCTTCTCTTCAGTATTGTCAGGAGCCTCTGACTTAAAGCTGAAGAGATCTTATTTTGAGCCACCATATGGCTCTGAATTAAAATTTCTTAGGCTGGTGATTTTTAACGAGGTCTGGTCTACTGTCATTGACTTGTATCAGTCCTTGCAAGCATGACAGGCATAGCGTGAAAGCTGGCTTTTCTTAGGGATGATTGTTCCATCTTAAGCTAACGTTGCCCACATTTTGGTGACATCCTTCACTCTATACTTTGAAGAAACATTCCTGATTAAAGCACATAGAAGTTCACTGAAATTCTCTCCAGCCATTGTTTCATTCAGTGGAAGTGCCATGGGCATCACAATCAGTTCAAAGATTTTATTGTCAATGTCTGCCTGATTGTATTTCCCATTAGCCTGACTGAACTTACCCACATCTGAAAGGTCATGTCAGGTTTCATTCACTGCACGTCAGTATAGCCTCTACTGACAGCCCAGGGATAAATACAGATCTAGTGAAAGTAGCTACGTGCCTTGTTTTATCATCGCTGGAATTTGTCCTATAAAAAGAAAAACCTTGCTTCAGCTTTTATCCTGCAGAAGCTGTTTCTTAAGCCAGGGAACCCAAATTCTGGTTTTCCCTATAGTTATTTTCTTATATATGAGCCAACTACTGAAATATTTGTGTGGTTTCTGAAAAGCATACTGATGTTTCCTTATTTAAGAACAAAACAGACATATCATTTCTCACCCCCAACCCCCTCCACCCACCGAAATACTGCCCGTGACTGCTGATACAAATCTTGTTAATGCCCCTCATTGTTTGGAGCTATTCTTGACCAACTTCTGCTTCCAGAAGGAAACTCTTATAAAGATATTTTCTATAAAGGGAAAAATCCTGTAATTCTTTGAAGAGATACAAATTCATCATGCTCATTATCATTCAATCAGAATTTGGAGTGCAAGGTGTTACGTTCAGGTAGTTCCTTATCCCATTTTCGCCTTCGCTTGCAAGGTGTTACTTTTTCAACTGGAACTTGACATCACTTTTAAAATGGCATCTGTGACTATGGATGATACTCAACCATTATTAAAGACAGCAAACACGGCCACTACCCTTTGGACTAGAACCTATTCAGATTTCTCTCTAATCCTGCTCAGATGCAGGAACACGCCATGAGAATCCAACAAGACTCTAACATCAGACCAATTTTGACAGTTCTATACAGTATATTTATATTAGGCAAGCCAATATATTATAGATATTTATATTAGGCTATACCAAAGAAGTCAAGTTAATGCAAGTGTTATAAACCTGTAGATATCACTGCTCAATCACCGCAGTATTTCACTTGAATAGCATAATGTGAAACTGCAAATAGAAGCTGATGGCAAATTAAGCATAGAAAGAAAGGTAGAGACAGATCTTGCATGAGGCTGGATATTACACGTGAAAAAGTCTGCTGGCAGAGTTATATTGCTAAAAACATTTTGGCAAGAACTGCTGTTCTTGGTTCATCAAGCAAAGTCAGTTGTACTAACAAAAGCACTTCGGTATCAGCCTTATTTTGTCTATACTGGATGGATAGTGGAGAATTAGCAAAAAAACAATAAAATGAAAATTCAGGAGTGTTTCCAAAATTGGATCTTTTTTTCTTTTTTTGGGTAGGTTTAAATTGTTTTTTTTCCTGAATAATTACTGCTATGATTTCTGTTTTCTGGGTTTTAATTTCCTTCTCTTAGTCCTGATTTGCATTCTGCAGGCGTCCTTAATCTAGGTTTTAAATTATTTCTATCAAACTAAGATCAAAATATCTCATCTTGGTATGATAATATTAATATGCTTTGTTGTTTTCAGCTTGGCAGACTTGTTCAAGAATATACATCATTTATATTCAGGTAAGACTTTATTTGCATGAAGAAATTCAAGCGCAGCAGCTTTTCTATTTTCCCTGGAACATTTTAAACATGTAATCATTCTAGATCACCTTTACCATAGCTTGTGTAAGTCTATTAAAATCAAATTTGCTCTAGGCAATAAACCAGCCTAAAGCTGAATTACTGACTGTGACCCTTTGGAAAGACGTAAAGAATTTATCAGGAGAAGTGTTGTGTCCCTTTGGCAATGTCACAATTAATTATTCTTGTGACATTGTATCCCCAGCATGTATATTGCCATCAAATGGCTAGGGTGAGCTAAAATGCATTCTGGTATTTCGTATTTCACATAGAAACTGTTTTAAAGTTAAGGTCTTACTGTTATTATAGGAATGGGAAAATTGTGGAAACTCACTGCAAAACTCTGCTAAGGGAGATGTAGTCATATATTTCAAAGTCCACTATTAATCCAGCATTTTAAATTCTTATAAATGTTGTGGTGCATACCTTCTGGTGCTCTCTTCAGCTGTATGTTTAATTAGAAAAACAGAAGCAGAGAACACAGCTTATCTAAATTGTAGCTGTTCTTATGATAATTTTAATCTTGAATTTTACCTGCTGCATCTTCATATATGGGTTAGCGTTGGGGGACTGATAGAGAGTTGTTCTGTCAGCTCTACTTGAACTAACCTCATTACTCTTGGATTCTTCCCTAAGGCCGTTTCTACCCCATTTTGTACAACTAGAGCAACATCAAGAGACTCAAGTTTTGCAGAGACTTGCCTCTATGACATGAACTGCTAATTTATCTTTGTGCGTGTGTGTTTAAGTAGCTGCTTTCCTTGTACAAGAAACTCACTGAGTTGTCCAATTAGATTGTCAGAAGGAGCATTTTATTATTAAGGTCTGAGAAGGCATGTTTGAGGTGTTTGTTTGGTGTGTACACATCTGTTTTGATTAAATAATATTTTTGGTAACATTTCATGTTACTGAATTTTTAGGGTGAAGTTAAACGTGGGAAATGATGAATGAATGATTGTCGTAAACAGAAAAGTGATTTGCTTCCTTTGTGGAGGCAGTCTATAATGATAAACATGGTTTAGAACTCGAACAGTATTTCATACACAGAAAGCTGTTACTATTCCAGGAACTACAGAAGTCCTTCATTATGAACACAGAATTCTTCTTTCTGTTTCCCATGCTATTTATCTATTCAGAAAAGTTAATGCTGTTTTCAAGTCCAACTTAAGCAACCTCCAAGGAACTGAATTATTTAATAAGTACACACTGGTTTCAGGTGGATTGTGTATTGATAAACCTGTTTATTACTCCACATGCAAAGCATCAGCAAAAAAAGGTTCAGTCTAACATACACAGAAGTCTCCAGCAGCAAAAGATTAGCAATAGAAAGCTTATGGAGAGCAGCCTATGATAATACTGTTCATTGATAAGAACCTTCTTTGCTATAGCTTCTTATTTCAAATAAAAACATTGAAATGCAACTGGGTTTAGGCATAAAATGGGATAATATTTCCAAAATTTACTACTGAAATAACTACATCTGGAAGCAAATGTCTGATAAGTATATCTTACCTACATCCTAGCTACAGCTTAACACCTTAACTCATTTGATAAGTAGTGTCTTCACAAATCACATCTATGGGATATTGATTTGGATACTAAAAATGAGCAGCTCCAACATTAATAATCGCTTTGCAAAATGTAGCTGTACTCAAACACTGTGGTGCAGCTCTTGCTGTATTTGGTGAATTTCCATTTCCATCCAGTTCCTAGTTTAAGAATGTGGACTGAGATATCAGTCTTGAATGTACTTTTCAGTTTCTTTTCCTATCAGCAGCAAGGTACAAGACACTGATACTGTATGCTATTATATATAATAGTAGCTAATTGCTATTTAATTTCTCCAATAATAATGATGCATTTCACCACAGTAATGATATTATATCCTAACATTACGAATTTTACTGAAACGCCACAATTTTTACCTATTGCATGAAAGAACACTTACTGCAAGAAACAGTTTTTAAGACTCAGGACTTAAAAATCAGCTCTCATTTGTTCTACCCATTTCAGATGCTCTATGTTCAAATGTATGTCATGACTACTTATGTACTGGTGACCAGCTACCAGAAAGGCGGGCAGAAGATGAGAGACATTTGTGGCTCATCTAATTACTAGTAAGTCCATCTGTAGTAAGATGTGTGGTGCTTGGAGGAAAGATAATATCCATGAGGTAGTGGCTATTTGCTGAATTTATTGCTGGGGTCCTGGGGACTAATCATAGAATCATAGAATGTCTAGGGTTGGAAAGGACCTTAAGATCACCTGGTTCCAGGCAACGTATCCCAGTGATGGTCCTGTTTCCCCCGACATACATGACACATTGGCTGGATTTTGCTGCTGCGTGAAATGCAGACCTGACACCTCCTGATTATTCTGGTCACAAGTCACTTGGAAACACATGGCCCTCAACACCTGTGGTGGTCAGGGTTGGACAGCCAAACCGTGAACACAGGTGGCTGCACTCTTAAGTGCATCGGCTTATTTCTGCAGCATCTTCTGCACATGTAAACTTCTCTGTGGAAGCTGCCCTCAGGAGACTTGTTTAAATTGCCTCTCACAACTCTAGTAATTTGTAACAGCTGTGTGTGTAATCTCCAAGGCTATAATTCAATTTCTCTCTTGTTCCTGTCTACTATATCCCCAAGATTCATCTCCATGTCCAGATGGAATGATAGCCCTCCAAGTCAGGGCTCAACAAGAAACGCAAGTCCCTACAGCGTGCTCTGTAGAATTATTGTCATAACAATCTTCCAGCCCTGGAAGTCTCTGCATGTTGTTCATACAATCAAATATCAATCACACTATTTGAAGTATACCCACATCCAGGAAATGGGATTCACACAATGACTGACCCTTGCTTCCTATTACTGCTCAGTGATGTGAATGGTGTATGCTGCTTTTTGCCAAGCTTGGCCAACTCCATTACTATGGCACCCAGCAGACGATTAAACCAGGTTTTCAGCTCCTGCTGGCCTCCACAGCATTGCTTTAGGTTGCTCCAGATACCACCACAACCTGCCTTGAACCCCCTGGAGGCTGCTTCCCAAGTAGGCACTTAATGCTCCAGCTCTGAAGGTTCTCTAAACAGTAAATGCATGGGACTGCTGTGTATTATAGAATCTCAGACTGGTTTGGGTTGGAAAGGACCTTAAACCTCATCCAGTTCCAACCCCCCTGCCATGGGCAGAGATGCTTCACTCTAGACCATGTTGCCAGAGGCTCTGTCCAACCTGGCCTTGAACACTGCCAGGGATGGAGCATTCCAAACTTTAACTGGGTGGATGCAGTCTGGGAGTTAATAAACAATAATGGTATTTAAGACAATTTTTCACATTTATTGAGTGATAATGTCCCCATGTATAATGACTATGCACCACAGTTTGTACTGTTGAAGGGATTAGACCTTCATCTTGATAAATTATGCTTTGAAAAGCATTTACTTGTTTTGAAACACTATTTCTGCGAGGTTTTTAAAAGCTTTCTGCTGCTGAAAATAAACAAGTTATCAGGAAGAGGGTACATTTTGTTATCAAACTGGTTTGTTTCTATTTGAACAGAATGCATTTGGGAGATGAATTTTCTTAATTTGCTAACTAATAATGTCATTTTTTTTAGAGCAGTAATTCGAACAACTTAATAAACCTGTAGGATACTTATTAAAATATAAGAGATTAAATTGTAATGAGCACACTAAAGACCTCTTCTTGAAAGGCTTCATTTCCAACCTATAACAAAAGACAGTATGTAGTACATAGCTATAACCACCTACATGAAGAAACATAAACTAAGTGGTGTTTCACTGGTTATCCTGCCACTTATTCCTTGGGTTGCTACTGTTACAAAGCCATCAAACTTAACGTTACTTAAATCTAATTCTAAAGGTTTCTATATTCCATTTTGTGATTTTGTGCCCCCTTGTTTCAAATTCCCCCCTTTTTCTGTCCTTCTCTGTATCACTATGCGTGAGCAGGCAGAAAGTCTTCATTCCCCCCCCCCCGGGATGATTTGGAGACTTTGCTATGTATCAGCCTTAATTGTACTATTTGTACATAAGCACTGATGGATTTACTATAAAGAGGATATCAGGACCTTTGTCAAGCTTGAGATAAACCATGGAAGTGGGTATACAATGCAAATGCCTTCTGCATTACTATACAGCCAGGAGATGGCCTGTGAGGAAGACAGCCATGGTGACAAGGCTGCCAGATCACTGGGATCCTCGTTATAGTCCTACCCAGCTCACACCAGGAGTGTTTTTCTCCTGCTTGTCTTTAATATTGTTAGCACAAAAGGCTTCGGATTCACTGTAGTAAATGAAATTCTGTTTCCACAGTAAATAATTCATTCTCAGTCAAAATAAGAAGAGTGTTTCCTGGTAAGTTCAGTATGAGCAGAGTAGAGCTCATGAAACCAGCTGTTGACCAGCTTGAGAAGAGGGAATAAAACCAAACCTGATTTCTACAGATTAAGAAATATTTATGGGTTATGGATTGCTAATAAAAAGATTTGCACCAATTAGGGCATAGTAGGAAAAGCCATTAATATACTAGCAACAAAAAATATTGTAACAAGGTAAACATAAATTAAAGCTAAAAGCAATCAGTACTATAAAAAATGAAAGAGTTAAAACATCTTCTGAGAATTAAGATGTAACTATCCTACTTTGCTAATATATCATAAACTATAATGTCAATGATATAGTAACATACTATTTAGTAACACAAAGCAATAAAATACAATTGATGGGGAGGACATTTTAATTACCAGCGTTGTGGCTGAGTATTAGTGTGAATCTCTTATAAAACCTGTCCTCACAAATTATGAACTAATTTCTGCCAAGTGATAGAATATCATTAAAGTGTTATGATACCCAGCTGATCAAAGGTAAAGCAGTTATTTATATTGCGTTACAGTTCTCCTCTCGCACCAAACAAGTCATTTAGAACAGTTTAGTTGAGAGGGAAGTAGCAAAGTGGGTATGGGGTATATCGCATCAAGATGAAAGAGAAATATAAGGAAAATGTAGATATGCTTTTGGAGTGCTAGAAGCATTATAAGAAAAGAAGCAGGAGCATGTGTTGTATTTACAATGCAAAGGTGAGCAATAAATAACGTGAAATGTTAAGCAAAGCAAATAAAATGCAAGAGAAGACAAGACAGTTGAAGTAAAATTAGAAGGCAAAATAACCTTGCCATTGTTTCGGCCAAGTTGAAAGACACCTTCCACACTGCCCCTTTTTTCCCTTGTTGTACTCCATACAAATAAAAAGATTTTTTTTTGCCACAAACAGTTATTTGCCTAAACACTGAGTAATTCAGTGTGAAGTCCAAGGCAACGGTCAAAATGAACACAGTGCAAGAAAGGTATAGAGTAACGGTGATTTGCTCCTACACTTTTATGTATTGTGGTGAATCAGTTAATTGAACTGAAACTCTTTAAGCTATCTTTTAAACTTTAGAGGAAAATGTGCACTGCTATCTGCTAGACCCTTATACTCCTGTGGGACTGATGTGCCAGGCCATCTGATCCACACAGTCCAGTAAACCTGATTGTCCCTCTCCTCCACCTGGCTGGAGGTGGGGCCCCTCTAATAGCCATCATAAGATTCTTCACTTACATCTTGTAGAAAGGGATTTCAGGCTAAAGTCAAAAACACAGCACTGCACCAGCTACTAAGAAGAAGGAAAATGACTGTTACAGCTGAACCCAGGGCAAAGAAGGATGGTGATAAACTTGAGCAAATCAGCAGAGGCTGGGACAGGTTGCCCAGAGAGGCTGCAGCTCTGCTATCTCTGGAGGTTTACAGCACCCAGCTTGTAAAAGCCCTGAGCGCCCTGATGTGAATTCAGTGCAGCTTTGGACTGGATCTGTAGTGAGGCCTCCAGCCATGGCGAGTGTGTGATTCCTTAGTTTTGTACAAGCTATGGTTCTATATGTATCACAAGCACTATTTCACTAATGCTGACAAGCAGATGTGCTTTGTAACTTGAAATGGGCCTTGATAAAAGATTTGCCTCCAGTCTACAAAAGGTGCATAGGAATTGATGTATTTAAACTGACAGAATCAATTAGAAATGGTGACAATAAACAGCCATGAATAGATGGCATCATTTGGAGGGGAAAAAAGCCAAAACAAACAAAATAGTCAAAGTAGAGATGGAAAAGCAGAGTTGAAAAACTAATTCAGTTTTCTTGTTGTCTGTGAATTAAACATACATTTATAGTGATATAATTCCACTGATTTTGATGATACGTGATAGCTCTTAAAATGAAAACAGCAAGATGTAGGATATTTACATCCAAAATAGCTTGTTTTTTCATCAATATCAATATTTTGTACTAGCTTTGCACTATATATAGTTGTGAAATTTTGACTTACCTTTCCAAACCTTCCATCCTTTACTCTCTGTGCTCATTCTTTCACCTCTCAACCATATCTCTTAGGGTTTGGTTTTTTTTTTTAATGGTTTTTCCTTTTTTTTTCCTGTCTGGCTACAAAGTTGTTGTAAAAGACAAAGAAGATAAAATAGCAGAATAATGAAAGTGGATGTCCCCTCTGGTGAGATCTAGCTTTCCTCAGTGGAGAATATATGACCTTCTTTCATTTTTGACACTTGAAAGCTTTCTTTAATAATGCCATTCCAGCCTAATTTTATGCAGTCAGCATGTTAGATGTCTTTTAAAAGTACTCCCATCTTTTATTGTTTTTAGCAACCAATTAGTTCCCAGCCCAACCAGTCCCAGTTGTTCAGTTGTATTCTGGGGATTTGGCATAGCACATTGGAATAATCACTCGCCTTCTGCCCCTTGCAGCTTTAAAGTACAAATCAAAACATGGATGTAGATGTGTGCAGTGACAATAGAAGAACCAAACCAGCAAAATGCATCTGTTTACCTCTTCTTATAGTCACCTCACATCAACTTTTCTAAGGCCAGAATGTTGTTTTTCTGGAAAGAGGCAATTGTTTAAGGAATTTTATAGTTAGGAAGTATTTCTACTGCTACTACTGTAGATTGTCTTTGTGCTTTCCTCTGATAGATCTGATCACATTTAATTACCTTCTGTCCTTCCAAAGCCACTTGATGCTGTGACTCTTGTTTATAAGAAGGTTGTACATAGCCAGCAAAGGTCAAGTTCCCAATGGTCGTATAGTACCTCAGCAGTGCCAGCTGAAGTCAATAGAATTACTTTCATGCACTTTGAGTATGTGATTTAAGACCTGCTTTTTTTCTTTTTTATTCTGTTCTTCTGTATTGTTGTCACTTTGACTGTTTCATTCTATTTGTTCTTTCAATCTCCATTTCTTCACTGAGGACACTATAGACTGAGGAGGAATTCCATATTTTCAGGTGGCATACTGGAAACTGATGTCATGCTTAAAAGTTTTCCTCTTCATGAAGTACTTTCTGAACTACATCTTAGTTTGTACTGATATAGAATGACTGAAACTAAAAGGTAGTTCTGTTTCCAGTAGCTGCTGGCATAGGCCTGAAAAGGCTTGTGTGAACACATCACAATTATGAACATCTGACCTGTGGCAAACTCCTTGCTAACTGCAACCAAGGTGCTAGTTAGGCATTCCAGTCCCTGTTCTGCTGAGTCAGTTCCAAGGTGTGAGGGATACTTCCCTTTCCTTCCTCTTTTCCTCTCCAAGTCAGTAACAGTTCCAGGAGCAGAGGACAGTTTCAGCCTGGATCAACTGCTGTTTTTTTTTTACCTTGTATTTTATTTTCTTTCATGTGATGCTGATCCCAGACAAGAGCCCAAGTTAAACATTCCTGTCTTTTTTTTTTTTTTAATGCTTTACATAAAAGATTCAGGTCTGTGAGGTTCTTCTGGAAACTCTAAAGTTCCTTCTCCTTTTGGCTTTGCAACATGGATTTCGATCATAGGATATAGCTGGTGTGAACAGTAGCATCCATCCGACTGCAGAATTCAGGCACAAAACAATAGCCATGGCAATAATTAAAACACATGTGGGTCTTGCATAGTAGACAAAATCACACCTGATACTTCCGATCTGTAATTCAATTCTGGGACTTCTGCAAGGTGGAAATGTGCTCTACTCATTTAAATGACAAGACTGAACTACGTTAGGATACTATTATGATGGAACAATGTTTTCCAGAACAGTTGATTTAAAATAGGTCTGTCTGCAAAGGATCTACAAATTTATTTTCTAAGTTAGAGATGCTCTAACAAATCAAATAAAGACAAGTGTATATCTAAATACTAGAAAATAAGTCTTTATTGTCGTACTTAATAATGTGTATATATTAGATTATTTGAACAATTATCTCAAATTATTCGTTTTACGTGCTTATTATTTTATTTCTTCACTATTAAAAATCACCATTTCTAGATACAAGTATAACCTTAGTGGTTAAACTGAAATACCATGCATCTGACTGCTCATGAAATAGTACCTCTAGTAAATCATATTAATGAACATATCAACAGTACAGAAACATTCTTTTTCTCTCTATTTGAATAGTTTAGTCACCAAATTATTTGATGGACCAAAATGTATTTCTGTGACAAAATGGATTAAACTCATAAAGCTGTAAGAAACGCGTATCTTGCCTTTCATCTCTCTCCGGTCACCCAGTTGGACAAATGGGGCTCAGTTACTTGCCTCCTTTCTAGCTCATTTGCCCAAGGCAGCAAACCAAATGAACTATGGGCAACAGTTTATACAATGCTTACCTCCCTCTCTACCTGTCACGAGGTGTCATTTTATAACAGAACCTGGACCCAGGTGTCCTAATAGCTTGAAAGGTCAGAAGGTGGGATGCAACTGTCTAATAAAAGATGCATGATGCGCATTTTATGTTTTAAATGCACAGTAATGTATCTGAGAGTGAATGTACTAATGAAAAGTGACATTTTACCAGTGATGTTGTGGAAACTGTAACAAAAGAACTCAGAACGGTTTTAGCATGCGATGTGAATGGACAGGAGGAGAGACTTCATAGTTAATGGGCAGGGGCTCCATTGTCCAGCAATGGAAGTGTGCATCAGCATAGGATTTAATCAAAGTCAACATGCAAGTGTGTAAACACAGCAAGCTTTGGTAAGAATAATGACTGTTGAAAGAAATCTTTACTAAATCATTTATAAACTCATTTTAGATTTTTATTATTGGGATAATAAATCAGTTTTGTTTAATGGCTATGGAAATTACACATTTAAAAATGTACCTTCGTATACCATTCATATGGATGCTGGAGAGAGGCTCTTCATCTGGGGCTGTAGTGATATGACAAGGGGTAATGGGTTTAAACTGAAACAGGGTAAGTTCAGGTTAGATATAATGAAGAAGCTCTTTACTGTAAGGGTGGTGAGGCACTGGAATGGGTTGCCCAGGGAAGTTGTGAATGCTCCATCCCTGGCAGTGTTCAAGGCCAGGTTGGACAGAGTCTTGGGTGATATGGTTTAGTGTGAGGTGTCCCTGCCCATGGCATGGGGGGTTGAACTGGATGATCTTAAGGTCCTTTTCCAAGCTGAACTATTTCTATGATTCTATACATGAGGAAAGAATTTTCTCTTAACATGCGAAGCTATCTATAATGTTCTGTTGCTTGTTTTCAGTGAGGTAGAAATGGAGGAAATAATCTTAATTTAAATCTGCTTTTTTAAAAATTAATTAAAATAATATCTTACAAAAATTCAAAAACATTTAAGTTTTTTTATCTTTCATCTTTACCTTTTTTCTTTATATTCAGTGAAAAACTGAATAAACAGTATAAATACTGTTGAAATAAAGGTCTGATTCCCATTGTAAACAATGACAAGGGCTGATAACTGTCATTTTCATTTCTTTTTATGTATTCTTTTCTTTTTTCATGCCCCAGCATTTAACTTTGTAGCAGTACAAGAAGCTCTTGAAATCAATGGATAACCAATACAGTTTCTAGTTAAAAAAAGAAAGAAGGGAGAAGAAAAACTCAAATCCTTTGATAAAAACATACCTTAAAATGATTGAAAACTGAGCTTAGCTCTGGATTCTGTTTGCAGTTTGTGTACTATTGATTCAGATCTTTATAAAATAATAAAAGTATAAAATCTGAAAAATGAGGTAAACATGGCTGTACAATCATTGCTGCGCGTTACTAAAACCCAACCAGCCAACCAAAAACCTCCCAGAATCAATCAAAGAAGCAAGCATACTTTTTTTTTTTTAACAGCATTGACTGCAACTGGAAGAGTTTTATTATGTGTATAAATGTGCCTTCTGAAACAAAGTATAAGGAAGTAAAGATTGATTCCAGGTAACTCATGTTACATGACCTTTGAAATGAACATACCTACTTCACAGTTTAAGTGCATTTCACAGGCATATTTTAAACTGGTTTATGGGGCAGCAGTTTCTGAAGGTTGCTTCTGTGATGAAGAAGATAGAAAATTCCTTCTGAAACACTGAGGCTTTTCTCACATAACTGCTCAATTTTGCTTCCCTCAGTTCAAAGTCTGCAAATACAGGCCCTGCCACATCCAAGTGTCCCTCTTTTTGCACAGAATTTTTCAGATGTCTTTAAAACTATCAAGGTCTCGAACAGCCAACTGACCTTCCCGTCCTCTCCACTGACTGGTATTTTTATCCTTCCTTTAAGATCTGCATCTCAGACCAACCCTCTCCCTCCTCTGTTGTGGTGTGCTGTGCATCCCGCACACCACAGCTGACCCATGTGGAGCCACTGCTTGTCCAGCAGCTACAACCTGCCTCCTCTGGGGACCTAAAACTGCTCAAATCATCTCTGCTATAGGCTCAGCAGTGTGGGATCTGCCATGATACTGCCTTTATTTGGGTCAAGATGGTTGGTGGAAGTTGTAATGCTGAGTGTAGGCACCTTAATGCTTGGGTGCATGACTGAGCAGTCTAAATTGAAGCTCTAGCTCTCCTTTAGTACATTTATTCACATATTTATTGTAGTATCCACACTCATATTAATTTATATTTCCTGTTATATCTCTAATAGGAACTATCTATGCAGTCATTACTTTATCCGTATGTTAAATGCTCATTTTACAGCTATTAGTATCCTGCTCAGGCTATGTAGCTCTTAAATGGTATTTTATGACATTTCCCAGTTTTCCTGTCCTCCTCTTTAGAACATCACTGGTGTGTTTGCTAGGCTTTGAATGTACTAAACACACCCAGATCGTTAGACAAATACCAATTTCCTATCAGTCTTATTTTCATGCTCTTTGTTTCAACAGAACATTTCTAAGCCTTCAGAGCATTGCTTTGGCCTACCATGTGCGCAGCTCACTGCAGCTTTCTCAGAAAAAATAATCTACTATTTTGCAGCATGATTGGTTTTCATCCAGGTACTGAAATGCTGCTTTTTAGATCAATTTTCCTGCCACGTGTGATGCTGCCGATCATTTGTCTGGTTTAAGGCCTCCAGAATCAACAAGTGGAAGAAGCGGACTCATGCTGAAATCAGGGTCATAATTTCTTACTGCTTCAGTGGATATCAATTGTACCACCAGCAACTGAGGGGGAGAAAAAAGGGATGAAAAAAACTGATGTAATAGTAATTTTCTTGCTAGAAATGGCACATTTGAACGTTTCTATTTTTAAGTTGAAAAGTTTTATTCCCATCTTTTATCTGGTCTTCCATATGGGTGCTGGTGCAAGCATCAGGCATCACAATTTTGTTGGCTTTTTATATTATATACATACTTTCTTCTGTCCCAAAATTATGGCTACTGTAGCTGCTTTTACAAATGTAAGCTGAAGAATGTGTGTGGATGCCCTTTATAGGAAGAGAGTTTTCTGTTTCTCCCCTTCTGGTCCAATAAACATTGATTTAAAAAATGTGGAACAGATCCCACGGGACACTATAATATTCAGTAGCTTGGTAAATATGCAGTGATCTGGGATATGGGTTCAAATACTTGCTCCACACCACAGAAGCAAGTGGAATTTAAACTAAGATCTCTCTTTTTTTCTTTTAAATGCCTGTTTACCTGTTGGCTTCTCTCTCACTTTTAGCATCAAAATGGGAAAACTGGGTTTGGCCTACCAAAGCACATCCATCACCTGAGCAAAGTGAAGAAATCAAGTACAGGTAGAAGGTAACATACCCTTGGGAGGTGATCTAAACCAAATATTTAAGTGTGCTTTATAAAGAAGAATCTTAGTCTGATTTTTAAGTGGTTAAAAGATAAACTCTGAGTGCTCCCTCTCATCAGTGTGAGAAGAGGAAGGATTTTACTGTACCATGACCTAAGATGAATGGTAACAGTGTAGGTGCTAATGTGTTTAGCATAAACTACTAGAAAACAAGTTGAAATGACATTGTGCCTCACCTTTCTTTGTTGCAGGTTAAGCAAAAGAGTGTATCACCAAAGGAAAGCCTGTTCTTGACCAGAAAGTGTATATAAGACACTCTCTTAGCTGAAAGAGTACATTTTGCACTTGGACACCTTCATATGCCACTTCAATCAGACAGCTACGTCCCACCATGAACTACTCTCTCCGTAGAGCTGTGTTGGTTTGTGACCAGTATGATGCAGATGAGGGCCATGAGGATGTCCTGTGGCAGCCCAACTCCTCATCGCTCCAGGTCCAAATCCCTTCGCCTGGCATTTACCTCCGCGTGGTCACGAGTGAAGCCAAGAGGATCCGCACAGCTGCAGGGGAGCTTTGTAATTGTGTAGTCTACAGGAGCCTGCGTGTTTGTTTAGACAAGGAGAAAACGAACCTCAGTAAGAGACGGGATGGGGGAGGAGGAGGGCAGAGGCGCCTCCTTGACCTCCGGTCCCCAGGTGGCCTCTGCGCTCCCTCACCGTGCGGGTCCACGACGAGTGGGGAGCTCTCGGCGTGTGCCCACGGCAGAGCTCCGCTGCCGGCACCTCACCGCGCAGCTCCCGAGTGTGGACCGCCCGTAGGCGCCGTTTCCCGGTGTCCCGGAGCCGCCGGACACGTTGCTCCAGGCCCGTTCCGCAGGCCGCGGCCCCGCCGGCCCACGACGCCGTCGCTTAGCAACGGCTCCCGCCCTCCCGGCCAATCGGCGGCGCGCTCGGTACCGGCCGGCAACCCGGAAGCAAAGGGCGCTGTGCCCGCCCGCGCGGAGGAGGCGGGGCGGGGGGCGGTGGTGGCGGGCGGCACCGGTCCGCGGGGCGCCCGCCCGCTCCCGCCCCGCGTGGGTACCGAGCGCGCCGCCGCGTACAGCGGCCGCTGTCGCACCCAAGCACCCACCGCACCCGCCGGTCCCGTCCCCCCCCCTTCAACACCCTCCCTGTTACACATACACAACCCAGCGCCGCCGTCCGCCCCGCCGCCGCGCTCAGGCTCCTCCTGTCCGGTGCGTCCGCCGGGCCCGGGCGGCGGCGGCGGCGGCGGGCGGAGGAGGGGGCTGCTGAGCGGCGTCTGCCGGAGCCAACGGGCGGCGGGGAGGGGGGCGGGCGCTGCGGGGGTGTCGGGTTAGAGCGAGGCGTGACCCAGCTGACGGGCGCCGTGCAGAGCCGGGCGGCGGGCGCGGAGCTGAGGCGGGAGCAGCAGCAGCAGCGGTGGTATCAGGCAGCGACGCGCGGCGTCGGTAGCGCTCGGCTCTGGCGCGGCGTCTTCTCCACCCCCTCGTGAGCCTGGGGAACCTGCAGCTTAAAGCCGCTGCCAGCCACACCACCATGTACCCCGGCAACAAGCGGAAAAAGCTCTGGCGGGAGGAGAAAGGTATTACCGACCTT